CTTTGTGCTAGAGAGCAACGCCAACATTCCGAGTGTGCAGGAAAAACAAGCAAAGAAAGCGGTTGAAGTTGAAAAAGCAAGGCGGACAGATTCTTTCGTTGTGTGTCCGCCCTCATGCAACGGAATGCGGGCATGTATATGATATGTTTACATATATATATACACATATATATATACATATATACATATATGATGTATATATATATATATGTATATGTATGTCGTGGTCAAAAGTTGGATTACACGTTACGCTGAAAAAAGAGGGATGGTCATCAATCCATTGCACTCATTATTTTTTGGATTCCCATGCCATGGGAGGGCCATGGCCGCAGTGGGTGAATGTTCCCAATGGACCCACTGCTGCGCCTCGCCCACTTATTTGCAAAACGGAGAAACATCGAAGGGCTCCACATCCCGCTATTTTTTATAGGTGGTTAGTATGTTTTTGTCCGTTTTTTTTTGATACTAACCATGATGAAACCCTTAAAAAACGCACACATTCCTCGGGTTGGCCAACCAGCCCTCAACCTTCCTCGGGTTGGCCAACCAGCCCTCAACCTTCAGGCAGCTGGCAAAGGCGCAAGCTGCTGAAGTGAAGCATATGGAGGCAGAAGTTGCCAATGCTAGTACCATGGTGCTGAGATCTTTGCCTACATCACTGGGAGGGTCACAAAAAGGTGATGACTTAGCTTGCCGAGGATTCAATGCCGAGCTTTATGTTTGCAAATGGGGTGCCAAAGCCCCATAAATTTGGTCCGCTTTTACATGTTTTGTAGTAAACCATCTGATTTTTGGGGTGCATGGTTCTAATCCATACGCATATTCTCACAGCATGAGTTGATTCTGGGTTCTGCTCAACAGCCCAATCCAGGGGACATGGCCATAGTTTCTTTTGCTGGTGATACAGAACGCTACAAGATGCTGTTAAGACATATTCATTATCAATAGTTATTTATTGCATGTAATATGTTGGTTATATTTATTTAATTTATTATCCTTGATTGTTATGACTATTACTATTTATATGATTGTCAATTTCTTGTAAACGTCCTGATACCCTAGATTCGTTGGATGTTGATTGACAATCAGTGACACGGACCACGGCTCCATAATCTGCCAAGACTGATCTTCAAGCATGAGCCAAAAACACTTGACTGCACCACACATGGAACCTTTGGCAGATAGGTTGAACCGGCTTTTCACTTTTTTTTAGACAGTCATACTTTTTTCTTCACCAGCCTTCCTCTTCCTTATTTGGCAGGCTCAGGAAAAGGAGAGAGATGCCTTCAAGAAGCACTGAACTTAGAGCGGCCATCAAGCAAACCTGTTCAGTCAGCCCAGCTATTTTTGGGCATTAAAGGTACTGGAGATGGGTTAGTGCAGCGATCACTGAACGTGAAGAATTTAAGGGGTTTGCCTTTTTTCATGGCTGACATCTTGTACCCAGCATCTTGATACCCTCTGGTAAACTAACATAACTATGGAAAATCACCATTTATAGTGAGTTTTCCCATTCAAACTTGTGACTTTCCATAGCTATGTAAACGTTTACCAGAGGGTAAAGTTTTTGTTGGACCAGGATGAAACGTGGCGTTTCTCTTCAACGCCGGGCCTTGGGAGACCAGCATCGCAGCATAGATCAGCCCAGGAAATTGGTGTACGATCATCATTCGGAGCTGAAGAAGCAGATCAAGGCTTGGTCGAACTGTGTTCAATGGGAATTTTGCAGGATCCTAAAATGGAGGTACGTTAGTACCATATTTTTGGCCATATTTTGTGGGGATATTCCCTTACATAGGCCTGAAAAATAGGCCTTATATATGGTACCTCCAATCAATCGGATCCTGAAATGGCCATTGATGTGTTGGGTGCTTCGTTCGGGTCTTGTTTCTGTGGCTATCGCTACAATACTACGGTTGATTATGATAATGCTTATTTATAATCCATATTATACAATTCAAATGAAAGTAACTATAACCAATATTAACTCATATGATGATAACCCATATTAATTTATATTAATTCATAATATATTAATTCATATTAATTCATTTGATAATCATATAAACAAACCTGGTGCCCAAATCCCAAACGTAATTATATCAATTACATTTAAAACTAATGTACATTAACATCATAAACTGTCAACACCGCAGGCAACCACCATGCAGTGACGCGTATTTTTTTCCGCTCAGGTGCGAGCCAGACAGAAGGATCGCCAGGCGCCGGGAAGAAAACTCTCCACTTTTTGGACTGTTGACAAATGTTTAAAAAAGGGCAAAGGGGCACTTTTTGGTGATTGAACATATACAATATATATATATATAGAACTACTATATAGAACGATATATGTATATTATATTATAATATATAAGATATTATATTTTAGTATGATATATATTATACTATATTTAATATATTAGGATCTATGATATATTATAACATATTATATATTATAATATATTACATATTATATATTATAATATATTATATTTTATATAAAATATATACATTGTATATATTATATTATATTATATTATATTGTATTATATTATATTATATTGTATTATATTATATTATATTATATTGTGTTATATTATATGGTATTGTATTGTATTTTGTTAGTTTATTGTGAATTTTATTATATATATATTTATAATATATATATATATATAATATATATATGTATATATTTATTATTATTATTATATATATATATTTATTGTACAATATATATATATTTATTATCTATATATTTATTATATATATATTTATTATATATATATTTATTATATATATATATGTATTTATTATATATATATATATATATATTATATCATATATTATGTATTATGTATTATATATTACATATTACATATTATATATAATATAATATATATATATATATATTATACTATATTACATAATATATAGTATAGATTGTACTATATTATATAATACATATATTTACATATATATATATATATATGCAAATGAATGGCCCATCCATCCGTCCAAAACGGAGAAAGACATCTCCACACACTCCATGTATTACACTTCCGAAAATCGCCAGGAAGCGATGAGTGACTGCGAGCTGCGACTCAACAAGCAGCTCCTGGAGAAGGTCGTCCATTCCCTGTTGGAGGGAGCGCTTGGGAGCTATGAGAAATCCATCGTTTACTATGAATACCCTCTGGTAATTTAACATAGCTATTGAAAATGGCCATTTATAGTGAGTTTTCCCATTAAAAAAGGTGATTTTCAATAGCTATGTTAAATTACCAGAAGGTAAATGGAAAAACCACATTTTCTGAAAGAAACCACCACTCAGCATTTCGAAGCTACTAGAAGCTAAACACATCATTTTGGGGAGCCAAGGAGGTACATGAGAGTTTCCCAAGAATGCGATGTCACAAGTCAACAGATTCGCATTTTCAATAGGCAAACGAACTGTTTTGGGATACTCTAATTTTGAGACAGATCCATACTTTACCTTTCTTGAGCACAAGAATATTCATGATGATGTTTGGGCAACACATGTGGTGATCGAATGAAGATGATGATATGACTCGATACTGGATGTGCAGTCAAGAAACCATTCTCATTTATTCACATGGTTATGTGATTACCCTTGTTGAAGAGGTTGGATATTGTCAAGTGAGTTATAGTGAGTTACCCTCTGGTAAACTAACACAACTATGGAAAATCACCATTTTCAATGGGTAAATCCACTATTTCTATGGTCATTTTCAATAGCTATTTTGACATAACCAGAGGGTACTGTATACTCTTTCTCAATTTCCGTTTGCTTCGTGGTGAAAAACGTGGCCACGGTGGGATCTTCCAGAGAAGTTATGCAAAGAGAAAAGTGTGTAAAATGGATGGCCTGGCGAGCATGAGCTTTCAAGACATGCTTGGTGACTTGGTTGGTGATTTCATCTATTTTTTCATGTTCAAACATAGTTTTGGGATGATCCCCGATGACCAAAAAATCATGGGGCTTGAAAGCGAACCAGCCACATGGCTGCAGGTGTCCTTGGTGTGGGCTCTTAGATGCGACTCCTTTCTTGGTCGCATTGCTGTGTTGGGCGGAGGATATGCACAGCAATCATGTTGATATATATATATATATATTAAATATATATATGTATTTCCGGCCCCGGGATTTAAGATGTCTTTCATTTTGTTACTCCTCAGTGTATCGGCTTCAGCTTGGTTTGGATGCAGTGCCCACGGTGCCAAAACTTCGTGGGGAGCCCGTGCACTGCTTGTCGAACCTGGACTAGGATTGGCTTCCTTCTGGAACGCGGGCAGATTCCCGTGTGGAAAGAGGCTGAGGTAGTTGCAGCTCTACGGAACGCTGTGGGTGTCTTCTCGGACTTGGTCGAGCAATTTGGCCTCAAGCCCTACGGACCTGCCGCTCCTGGAGGATCGGGAGACATCATCGGGGGACCTACGCCCCTGGTTGAGGACAAGAGGCCCGCTGAAGAGCCAAGCCGAGGAGCAAAAGACCCTGAAGTGCCCAAGAAGGAGAAGAAGCGACCCAAAAAAGACAAAGTAAAGAAGGCAGAGGAGACGGGAGCAGAGGAGGCTCCTGGTGAGAAGGAAGCGCCAAAAGAATCAAGAATTTTAGAAGGACCTCCAGAGGAGTCAGTAAGGAGTACTGCACGAGGAGGTGAGGTAGCCCCAGACGGAGAGAGGTTACAGAGGGATTTAGACCACTACGTGTCTACCAACCCAGCCACCTTTGGATTGGGAAGGATTGAAGTTCGAGGATCAGCTGGGCGCCATTTCGCTGATCGAGAGGAGCAGAGAAGGAGGGAGAGGCCTCCTGAGCCGGAGGGTCCCCCGCCAAGGCGAGAGGATCGAGGAAGGAGTCCAGAGAGACACCGCGAGGACCGAGAGAGGTCGAGATCTAGACAAAAGAAAAAGTCGAAAGGAGCGGCACATAGGAAGCGAGGGCGAGACTTCTGGCGAGGAAATCGCCGCCAGCGGTAGCAATGCCGCCAAAAGCAAAAGGAAAGGCAAAGGCCAAAGCAGGGCTGATGAGAAGAGGAGTCCTTCGACGTCCAGCCGGGGCTCTCGACGGAGGCGGAAGGCCAGGACTGAGGAGACCAGCGGGAGCAGAGCCTCCTGGCAGAGACGGCATTGCTCTTCAATGGGATCAAGGGCACGCTGTGGATATCCACCAGCTGGACTTGGGGAAACTGACGGAGGCGGGACCTCTGGTGATAGAAGAAGGGACCTATTTTCATCAGCCGTGCAAAGCAGCAGGAGAGTGTCTTGGGGTGTCGATGGAGGAGGGCCGCTCTTACCTTCGCCTGCGGCTGACAGGCACTCTTTGCGAGGGTCTTCTCAAGCACTACACCGGCAACCCCAAGGGCGAAGTGAAGGGTCACATCTGTCCCAGTACTTGCAACGGCGAGGAGGCAGCGGACAACCTGGTCCACGTCAAGAAGGTGAGGAAAAGGCAGTCCGCCGAACAGGAGGGCGCATGGGTCGAGAACCTCATGAAAGTCGTTCCCGCCATAGAAGGAGAGGACGAACTGGCCCTCTTGAGGAGACAGATGCCAGCCCTCGAACCTCGAAGGAACGATGGCGAGGGTTTAGGCGCAGCGCCAGCGCCGGCGGAGAAAGAGAAGCAAGACCGAGGGAAAGACGGGAAGGAAGATTCAAAGAGAGCAAAGAAGAAAGAGAAAAAGAAAAAGAAGAAGAGAAAAAAGTCGGAGGAGGACAGCGAAGAAGGGTCGGGAGACAAGGCTCTCCTGGATGGAACCCAACCCAAGAGGGCTTGTGTCAAGGAGACGCAGGCTTTATTCATGGGTACTGGGCTAGATGCCAGGGAGAAGATACGAAACAAAGTCACTCGTCGAGGACGCCGCCATTTGAGCAAGAAGAGCAACAAGGATACTTCAAGCAGCAGTGGCAGCGGCTCATCGAGCAACAGCAAGAGCGGCGCCGAGGGGGTGGAAGAGAATCTTTTCGACCCGTCGTCGAAGGTCCGCATCTTGGCGGAGCAATTTCCAGGAGCTTTGACGAACCAGGGCATCAATCATATGAGGACCAGCTTGTTGCAGGAGATTGGGCATCAGGATCGACCCAATGCACTTCATCCAGTGGCAGTGGCTTATACCCAGCAGCATCTCCTGAAAAGGGCTTCAGCACCCGTCCAGCGGGAGTTGCTGACATTGAGCCACGCCCTGGACTTGATGCTGAAGGGAAAAGCTTCGGCATCAGCCGATACGCTGATGCAGAGGTTGAAGTCCATCGAACAGACGCTTCTGGGGTCTCACTGGTCGATCTCCCAAAAACTCGAAGTGTTGCCCCCGGAGTCGGCGAGCATCACGGCTCTGCCGGAGGCAAAGTCAGCCCAACGGGAGATGTACGACGAATCCCGGCTCCGGTGGCTTGCGGCCTCCCCGGACGGAAGGCAAGGCCAGAAAGGAGGAAAGAGCGGGGGAAAGACGAAGGGAGAAGGCAAAGAAGGTCGAGGACGAGAGAGAAGGCAAAGGCGGCAAGAAAAGCAATCCAAAGGGCGATCAGGGCAAGAAGAAAGAAAGCTGAAGCTGAGGAGTGGAGAAGAAAGCCCCTCGGGAGGAGCCCCTCCTGGTGTGGTTGGGGGCGGCTTGAGAGAGGAGATGGAGGTTGCGAGAGCTACGGCTCTTGAAGCGTTCTATGAAAGGGGCACCGCTGTGAAGAATGGGAACTATGAGGGTGGAGTGGTGACGGCCGCCCGTTCCCCAGAGAGAACTGGTGACTCCTTGCAGCATCTACGGGAGCCGGATGGTGTCCTGGCGGCTGCGCAATCTATGCATGAGGCACAGCTTCCGCCTATGGAAGAACGAATTCCTTTCACCAAAGGCGACGAGGAGGGGCCGACCGGCCCTGCTTTTTCTTCAGGCTGTCCTGCGAAGCCAGGGCAACAGCAGACCCGTCCGCCAAAGAAAATGAATGCGCCTGTGAACTTGGCAGGGGAAACATTGGGTTCATGCGGTAAGTTTTTATTCCAGCAGCTCCTTGAAGTCTTACCACTTCGCAGCCAGAACATGGGTAAAGTGAACTCTAGGTCTCTTTTCCCTTTACCCACTTCTAGGAGTATGTTGGAAACTATCTTTCCGGAATTGACTGTGGAGGTGATGACGTGGCTTCTTTGTATTTGTTTTTCACTGAACTCTTTGTGGGGTGACTCTGTTTGGTGTGACTGGAAGCCCAACACGTGCCAGCTTAAGTGTTTGCAAGAACTGGTGCAACATGTGAAAGTGTTCTGCGCTCTGGACCTTCCCATGGAGACTTTGTCGTGGGATGATCTGTTCAAAGTGCGAACTGTGGACTACATGGGTGAAGAAGTTAAAGTAGCACGCTGGTTCACGTGGGGAAATATTAACCCAGCTCTTCCCAAAGAGATTGGCACTGTTCCCTTGGAAGAGGTTTGTGAGCTGGGGAGTCGTTTTTATGTGGAGCACTTTGAGAACTTTCTGAAGCCTGAAAGGGAATGGGTGAAATCCAGAGCTCCCCGTGTTATGGTCGAAGATCATGAATGGGGCCGGGTATGCTCGGGACTTGTCCAAAGTGGGGTTTGTTGTTTTCTGGAGGAACAGGAAGTCTTCAGAGTGGGTGATGCACCGTTGCTCAATGGACTCTTCGGGGTAACCAAAGATGAATGGACCTCTGACAATGTGGAGATCTTTAGGTTGATCATGAACTTGATCCCCCTGAACAACATTGCATGCCCATGACAGGGGACGTTGATACGCTACCCTCGTGGGGGTCCATGAGCCCTTTTTTCCTACAACCCCATGAGAACCTATTGGTAAGCTCGGAAGATGTGAAATGTTTCTTTTACACCATGAAAGTTCCAGACTCATGGGTCAAATTTCTGGCTTTCAATAAGCCTGTTCCGGAGGAGGTGCTCCCCGAGGAACTCAGAGGACGACAGGTCTATTTGGCCTCTCGAGTCCTCCCAATGGGCTTTTTGAATAGCGTGAGTCTGGCACAACACGTGCATAGGAACCTGGTGAAGTGGAGTGGCAGGCGGGAGCACATGGGGGCATCGCCACCAGTGAATGCTCCTGAGCAAGAATTAAGAAAAGATCGCCCTTTCACCATGGCCAATCCATCTTGGAGAGTTTACCTTGACAACTATGATTTGCTCGAACGGGTCGAAGCCACGGACATGGTGGAGCTGGAGGGAACCATGGCCCCTGGAACTCTGGCTTTGAGACAGGAATACGAAATTTGGAACATCCCCCGAAACGTCAAGAAATCGGTCTTGCGCTCGGCACGCTGCGAGCTGCAAGGAGCGACGGTGGATGGTTCCACGGGGGTGGCCTACCCCCGAGAGTCCAAGCTGAACAAGTATTTCTTGCTGGCTTTCTCCTTAGCTGGCTTGTCGCATGCGCGACAGAAGCAATGGCAAGTTGCCTGTGGGGGCTTGGTGTACTTCAGTATGTTCCGGCGGCCTCTTCTGGGCAGTCTCAACAAGGTTTGGAGCCACATCCAGGAGTACGAGAGGCGCGGGGTGAGGGTTCTTCGGACCCCCCCTGACTGCCGCTTGGAGCTTCTTCGGTTTCTCGGCCTTCTGCCCTTGGCGAAGCTGGATTTCCGGCTGGATATGCACCCGCAGGTCAGCTGCAGCGATGCCTCAACGACTGGAGGCGGAATCTGTGCCAGCGCTGGAACCACCAGTGTAGGTAGCGTTGTGGCCCAGGGCGGGTTGCGAGGGCAGAGGGCTGAAAACCACTCCGATGTGGGCATCCTCGCCATTGGCCTTTTTGATGGGATCGGAGCCCTCAGGGTGTCTCTGGAGGCCTTAGGCCTGCCGGTGGTGGGGTATGTGTCCGTGGAGCAGCATGAGCCTGCCCGTAGGGTGGTAGAGAGCCACTATCCAGGGGTCCTACACTATGACGATGTGCGGGCCATCGACGAAGCCATCATTAAGGAGTGGTCTGCAAAGTTCTCTCCGACCAGCTTGGTGATCATTGGTGCAGGCCCCCCCTGCCAAGGAGTCAGCGGGCTGAACTGTGACCGGAAAGGTGCACTACGAGACCAGCGATCCAGCCTGTTCGTTGAAGTGCCGCGCATCCGGGATGCAGTCAAGCGGTCCTTCAAATGGTGCCCGGTGTTCGTAATCATGGAAAGCGTGGCTTCTATGGATGTGGAAGACCGCAAGGTGATGAGTGATGCCTTTGGAGGAGACGCAATCAAATGCGATGCGGGTAGCCTTACCTGGTGTCATCGCCCGCGCCTATACTGGTGCGATTGGGAACTGCGCGAGTCAGAAGGAGTGACTATAACCCCGGGAGACAATGAAACTCCTGCCACTCTGATCCTGGAGGGGAATCAGGACATCGCACAGGTGGTGAGAAAGGGATGGCAAAAGCTCAACCCCGACAAGCCTTTTCCAACTTTCACCACAGCTCGGCCCAGAGCTATGCCAGGGCGTAAGCCTGCGGGAGTTCAACAGTGCTCCTGGGAGGAGTTGTGCCGGTGGCAGCAAGACCAGCATCGTTTCCCGCCATATCAATACTGCGATGATCATTGCCTGGTCAACAGGAGGTATGAACGTAGGATACCAGATGTGGCAGAGCGGGAGATGATGATGGGCTTTCCGCTGCACTACACCAGTGGTTGCTACCCCAAGCAACAACGGAAGGCCGAGAGCTACAATGACTGTCGACTCACTCTCCTGGGAAATTCATGGAGCGTCCCAGTGGTTAGCTGCTTGTTGAACCAGCTGTTCTCAAGCCTGGGGATCATGGACTCCTGGAAGCCACAAAAGATCCTGAATGAGCTGTCACCGGGCCACGCTCCTACGGCACAAGGGCGACTTTGTCGATTGCCGCTCAACCCCCCATCAGAAGTCCATGGAGATCAGTCTCAACTCCTCGCTAAGCGATTGGGAAACCTCATTTCAATTCGTGGTGAAGACATTCTGCTTACCACACCCACCACACAGATGGCGAGGTTCCACCGACTACGTGCAACAGTGCCAGCCCGTTGTTGGAAGTGGCGCATCGTGGCTGGATGGCGTTGGACTAAGTCCAATGAACACATCAACAGTCTCGAATTGAGAGCAATCCTCACATCTATAAGGTGGAGACTCGAACATGCCCAACAACCCGTTTTGTGCACCTGACTGATAGTCTCGTATGTCTTCATGCTCTTACCAGAGGTCGTACCAGCTCACGAAAACTTCGCCGAACCATGGCCCGCATCAACGCCTTGATCTTGGCAGCCCAGGTCCAACCCCTTTGGGGTTACGTTCACACGCATCAGAACCCGGCAGACAAACCCAGTCGATGGGGTTGCCGGGTCAAGTCAAAATTTAGGCATGCCAAAGCGTAAAATCTTGGAAGCTGAGGCTCCAAGTGACAGGGCAAAGATGCGTCGTGAGTTAGGTACACTCAGGGATTTAGCGGTCCAACCCGCTACAAAGAAGAGATATGACAAGGCAGTAGCACAATTTTCGGATTTTCTCAAAAAAGAGCAACTTTCTTTACCAACATGCAAGGACAAGCTTGATCCGTTGGTTTGTGAGTATATTGAGCATCTCTGGTCCTCCGGCGTTGGTCGAGCACAGGCCAATGATACAGTTGCAGCTTTGCAGAACTTGCAAGCCAACTTACGGGGGCAATTACCAGGTGCTTGGAGGTTGCTCAAAACATGGGCAGTCAACGAAGTGCCAAATCGAGCACCCCCTCTCCCAGAACAAGTTCTGTTGGCCATGACGGGATGGGCCTTCTTCAAGGGCCATGTGACTTTTGGTATCTCCCTTCTGCTAGGTTTTTATACCATGCTACGATCTGGAGAGATTCTGGGACTGAAGTCGTCTCATATCATGGTGTCTACTAAGGAACGACAGGTCTTAGTGTCTTTGGGTTACACCAAAGGGGGCAAGCGGCAAGGAGCAGCTGAGAGTGTCATTTTGGGGGTTCAACCCGCTTTCAAATTAGTTCAACAATGGAAGCAGAACGCTTCTCTTAATACTCCCCTGGCACACAGCCCAGCAAGCTGGCGGGGGCTTTTCACTGAATGTTTGGAAGCTTTAGAACTCTCCCATTTCAATTTCAGACCTTACTCCTTGAGAAGGGGAGGTGCTACGTATTGGTTTCAGAAACATGGAAACTTGGACAGAATCCTCGTCCAAGGAAGATGGCTTGCGCACAAGACTGCACGAGTCTATTTGAATGAAGGACTAGCATTACTTGCTCAAACTCGGATCAATTTTAATTCCCTTTCGATCCGGTCCTTCTTAAATATTTATGAACATACAGTCAAAAAACCCGATTTCTCCACACTTGAGCCTCCGGGTAAACCCGGAAGGAGTGGGGGACATGGAAAGAGATCAAACTGGCAGGGAAAGAGGCGTGTTCAAAATGCGCATTTGGAGTTTTTTAGGTTAACTACCATTTCTGTGTGACGGACAGTGAGGAGGTGTGGCTCGGCTGTGCTGTCAACAAGGAAGGGTTCTTACGTCTCTCACTACGGGTGTGGCCGTGTGAGAGAGGGAGCTCGCGGAAGGCGATCTGCTGGTAGTTAACCTGGGTTTTCTTTGTTTTTTGCTGATAACTCTTGTTATCATTTCCTAATTTTGACAAATATGCTGCGAAGTGGAGTAAAAGAAATGCACTGACATCTTTGTATTTCCGGCCCCGGGATTTAAGATGTCTTTCATTTTGTTACTCCTCAGTGTATCGGCTTCAGCTCCCAGCCCCCCCGGCCCGGGAGTTTGTCTCCTGGTTGGCTGGGGAGATCAAACTGGCAGGGAAAGAGGCGTGTTCAAAATGCGCATTTGGAGTTTTTTAGGTTAACTACCATTTCTGTGTGACGGACAGTGAGGAGGTGTGGCTCGGCTGTGCTGTCAACAAGGAAGGGTTCTTACGTCTCTCACTACGGGTGTGGCCGTGTGAGAGAGGGAGCTCGCGGAAGGCGATCTGCTGGTAGTTAACCTGGGTTTTCTTTGTTTTTTGCTGATAACTCTTGTTATCATTTCCTAATTTTGACAAATATGCTGCGAAGTGGAGTAAAAGAAATGCACTGACATCTTTATATATATATATATTACAAAACGCTTATCCCAACGCAAATTTCAAGACAATCATGGACATGGCTCTGTATACTATCAAAACTATGTCATATTCTGCCGATATTTGGGTCTTTGGACCAAATATTCTACAGCTCGCATGACATGTTGACCCATTGAAGATTTCCAACCAACCAGCCATATTGCTATGGATCAATACCTATTAATACCATTTTTAGTGGGTTATTCACATCCATTTTATCCCAGCTATTTTGATGTGAACAGAAGGGGTACTATTGGTTTTGACACACTGCCATATTTGTACAGGTGGATGTGTTTCGAAATCCTGCGAATTGGGTCAATGATAAAGCTTTTTGTTTTTCACGCCTACTGAGCCGCTCACGTAAAAATTGTGATTTGACATTGTTTTTTTAAGCCAATCTGATCCGAACTTCATATGTGTTTTGCCCATATTTTTGGGGTATGGGTTTGCTGTTCTTTCCAAAGTTTTGCTCGTTCGATCCGATAGTTATTTCCATGCCTTTGCTTGGTGGGGCCCGGTATGAATTTTGTCAACCAATTCCACAAGTACAGATGATTTCCCCGTCATTTTCCCATTAAAGCCTTCATTTTTAAGGGATTGCCCAGCCAGCTATGTCTGATTTCCGAGGCTCTAACCGATATGTCCACCAAGACCTGCTGACAGCGATGGTTTTCGGTTGAACCATTGCTGTTCCATAAAGATTCCAAGGAAAAATAGTTGGGGGGGTCCAATATGTAATGTATTGTTTTTTCAACCATACAAAAGGATACAAGAGGGATGATAGGTTGAGATGACTCATATTTCTTGAATGGGTTAAAAACCACCAACCAGATAATGATGAATAAGGTATAATTATATAGTACAATGTATTTTGTCATAAAGCTGAAGACCTGTCAGTGACTCGATAGAGTCGGCTGCAAGAAGCGGCAACCAGCTTCGCCAGTGCCGTTCGGGTTGACTTTGGATGGTTTGTTGATAAAGGATGATGAAGGGAATATGTATATATATATATACCTATGTATATATATATATATACACAATGACTATGGTTATATGTACATAGTTCTCTTTTAAACACATAACGGAGCCTCTAATGTTTTTTTTGTTCTAGAATATTATATCTCAGAACATCTTAGAACATCATATTTTATATCAAAATCTATTATCTTGGAGCATCATCTATCTTGGAGCATCATATTTTCGCATATCATATATTGGATGATTCTAAGTTGATTTTCTTGTTGCTTTCAGGTTGGTATTACAGGCTTCAGCAGGCATGATCTAGATAATTAGCCACAATTGGTCAATTTCCAACCTAGAAAGATCGCCAATGACAGGGCACTAACCATGGTCACTATCCAGTCACCAAGCGGAAGAAGCATATTATTTTGGGAGTTTGGATGCCGGTCTCTGGGTAAACGTAAGTGTTTATATCTGCAATGATCATCAATTATTTGCAAAAACCATTTGGGAAATTAATCTGGTAAAGATATTCTGCCTGTCTCTGTTCTTTCTGTGGCACGGAACCTTATAGGGATACGGATACCCGCAAGCCTGTGCTAGTTCTTCAGAGGGTAACAAGGATTCCATTGGTGGATCGTGTCCACCAATTATATCTTTGGATACAGCATTAGTTGGATATTATACACTAATCACTACTCTACATAGGTACCTATAACTAGCATTAACTAACATATATAATACATGATTTATACATATTTCATAGGCTATTTCCTGTGTCCAACACTTGAAACTGGAACCAAACATAGACAGCCCAGATAACCCAGACCTGCGATTGGTTGAAGCTGGTCTGACTCGGCTCGGTTTCACTAATATCGAAACAGCTTTATATATATATATATGTGTGTAGTGGTATGTTTGATAAGATATAAATATAACTTGTATACAACTGAGCCTGTTGATTTTTGTTCCATTCCACAAACAATCAGACCACTTGAGACATTTGGTCATATTTTGACAATACTTGGTTCGAGTTCTTAGTTTGAACACTTGCTTGAATCCCAGTGTCAGAGGTACCTATGGAAACTACAACTGATCTCGAAAAATGCTGAAAATGTGTGTGAAATTCTTTGAGCGCCGAATGAGGGTACAAAGTCTGGGTCATAAATCGACCTGACCATGCCATCAGTGACCACTCAGCTGAGTTTGAAAACGCATCGGGCCTTTGGTCGTCAAACGGCTGTTGGGTAATGAAGACGAAATGTCAAATGTTCTTTTGGATAGTATGCTGTGTGGTGACATGCTGAAAAGTGTGTGTGTGTGCTTGCTGATGTATGCTTAGTGTTTTCGTTGATAACAACATCAATGACACACAATTAGACGGGTTTGTCTCAAAATGGTGTATACCGTATACCCCTAAATCACAGTTCGATGGGAAAAATATTGTAAAATATGATGAAAATATGATTGCATTTTGGTTGTTCCAGTCATTTTCAGGTACCAAACTTTAAATCTAGAATGCTTGCAGTGCCCACTGGGAAGATCTAGGACAATTCTACAATTAAATGTATTATATTAATGTATTAAATGTAGTGAAAAAAATATAAGTAGATAGAAGTAGTAAATACATGCTATAGTTGATTGTTCATTGAAACATATGAACTTATAAGTAGTGTGTCATTGAAGTTTCATTTATTTAGTGTTAAACGTTCATTGAAACTTCAAAGATTGATTGTTCATTACCAGGCTGGATTTCTGGACGGTCCTACTCCAAATTGGTTGACACGTCTACATGGCCCAAAACTTTGCCAATGGCCGGTGATCTCTTTAGTGATCGCATATCATACTATTTGGTGATGGTATCAATATGCATATCATTAGTGTGGTTGTCCAATTGTATCCATACGTTATATACACATGGGATATCAGAAAGAATGGTACTCGTGTTATATACTTCTACCCTCTTGGTCCCTCCTGTAAATTAACACACCCTCTGATAATCAAACATGACTAGCTGGAAAATGCTCATTTAATTTTTTTCGATGATTTTCCAATTTAAACATCCATTTAGTTCGGGGATTTCCCAGCTTTTCCCAGCTAGCCATGTTTGATTATCGACGGGTAAATGGATTAGAATCCCTTTTGTTGATAATCAAAACATGGCTAGCTGATCCATTTCTAAAGGGATTCTAATCAACTATTAATTATCGATGAAATCCCTTTTTAATCCCTTTTCTTATCCCGTTAGAAATCCCACTATAAATCCATCAAATATCTGGGTAAATTTCATCACGACCGAACCCTGTTCTCCCGAAGCCTGGTTTATCATGGTAAGTTAATAAGGGAAATCATCCCCTTTTATGGCCTGCCTTAATTCAGGTTAGTGAATTATTATAATGTACCCAGATCTAAATCCCAAATGTCACCATACCCATAGGATCCATGGTGCTGGTATATATGCTAACATTTGGGGTATATTGATGGTAAATGTTACCATATATAGCATACATGGCTCCTATGGGTCATGTTAAAATATGTTCAAGGTACCTGATATGGTAAGTGTTTTTAATCATGTTTTCAATGAACCAAATGATGGGATTATGGTATTTTTAACCAACCACATAATTCCAAATAATGGGTTAAATTACCAGAGGGTAACAATGGTTTTTCTTGGTGAAACAATCTACCGAACCCCCTAATTTCGGCACCTTGGCTCAGATTCTCCCCCGGCGAGCGCTTCCAGCGCGCCGCTTCCCCCGGGGGGTCATCGGCTTACCGAACCTATGATGTGCTCGGCCCGGTGGTGGGTAGAACGTGGTAGAACCATCAAACAACCCTGGCTTTAGATGGGTTTTATGATGATTTTTCTGATGGTGTTACTGGGTAAAAATGATGTTTTATGATGTTAAATATGGATAAATATGGTGTTTTATGATGATTTATGATGTTTTATGATGTTTAATATGGTGTTTTATGATGTTTCATGATGATTTTATGATGATTTGTATGGTTATATGATCAACCAGATGGATTCATTTTGGGAAAATGGGGATAGGTTTGCGGATAAGGCTTACTAACCACCAACAACCACATGTTGGAAGGTGAACCTTAACCAATTGTGTCGGTATGTGTCGGTCAGTTTTGGGTGGGTTGGTTAAAACGACAACACATTAAACTTCCAACGACGATGGTCTCCGGAAGGGTTGGCAGGTCAATGGTAGTACGATCTAATACGGTCATGATGAAGTCGAAGTCTTTCTGGATACATTGCTAAGTTTTGAAAAGGCTCCGTGCGGAACCCAAAGACCAACTCTGCAGCTGGAGCCCTTCTCATATATTGCTAATGGAGCTGATCGCTATCATCTATGGTGGTAACATCACCTCCCTTAAAAGTGGCATGAAGGGTTGGAGCCACAACGTTCCACAGCGTCCCAACCTCACCGACTACTCCCTCTATTTCCCGTTGGAATATCAAGCCCTCAATGCCCTGTAGCAGCCCGCTGGACGTTAACGCTCTGAAATGTGCGGACATGACTTACTCCACTTACCATTAAAACTCCGAGAGTCATTCCACCACATCTCATTTGATCAGTCTGGCAGGATGCATTTTTTGTTGATTTGTTCCAAGATCTACAGTGAGTCTACAGTGTGCTCCAGCGTTTCGTGCTGGTTCCTACCTGATTCGGTAAAAACCAGCTTTCAGACTTATCTGGGTCGAGATCTGACATACCAAACGGCTGAGGTACAGATATCTTCAGTATGCCCTTCTCGCAGGGTGCGGTACCAAGCATGGAGATGCATGGAGTGAAGTTTCAGCAGCGAAGCGCTTGGGGGTTACAATGGTTACAGTTCATGCAAGCCCAGCCATGGCTGAAAACATGTGTCGAAAATACATGAAAATACATGAAAATGTGTCGAAAACATGTGTCGAAAATGCAGCAAACTTGGATGGTTCCGAACTGTCTTTTTCGGGCATACGTATTATTACCAATAGGATCCATGTATGCTATATATGGTAACATTTACCATCTACCCCAAATGTTAGCATATATACCATACATGGATCCTATGGGTTATAAGCGTCATAACCATCCAGCTTGATGGCCATACAAAAAGAAATGTCCACAATCTCACCAGTCTGAACAAAATGATCATGATGAATCCCTTGCCCCTAGTTTGAAACACATTCGCTCAGTGTTGGATGGATTAATTCTAGGGGCCCATATATCATAGAATTGGATGATGGGAAAATTTACAGGAAAGCCCTATATTTGATGGTAAAAACCATGGTTTCCTGTAGATTTTCCTTAAACCAATCCAATGAATATAGGGCAGTTTCGAATAGAAGGGGTGAATGGGATAGGGCAGTCGTTGCTACAATCGTTGCACCCTGTGCGGATTCGATGTCCCAAAATAACGCGACGCTGCGCCGCAGGCTGTTTTCACATGGCTTAGCTGTGCTCAAGCGAAGAGCACGACAGGCCGGGGGGGAAAGCCATTTGCGATACAGGCGTGGAACTATAATTACCCTTCTGTGTCATCAAAGATGGCTAGGGGGTAAATCCCCCCCATCAATGGAGGTCTTAATAGAAAATCATGGCACTAAATGGGGCAGTTTCCAGCCATGTTTGCCAGAGATGATCATTTCCCGAATCAAGATAGACCCTGAGAAGTGCCAACTTTTAGCGGACACAATTGTTTGGGGCCACACCCAACTCATGTCATGGCAGGGTCTATGGGAGTTGGATGGGGGGGGGTTGGGAAGCTGTTTGGTGGTTTTGCTTTTGTCTTTGTCCATCTTATTTATTTAAGGTGATGATCCCAATTGACTAGGCTAGGACTCTTTAGGGCGGCTAGAAGTGCCAACCAGACTATGCAAATCTACGGAAATACTATAGTTCAAGATGGCTCCACAAGATTTGCAGCACGTTGTTCACTTTTTTTGATAGTATCTATAACATATTATTGGCATGATATTGATGTTAGATATTCCATTATGTATTATATATATATTATTGCAAAACATATCGTAAATACCAGTGAAGGCAGTAAAAAGGTAGGTTTTGGGGTGGTATGGTACCATAGGTCGTGGGGTACATAGCCCTAAATCAATCCTCCGGCTATTGGGGTTGCCAGGATGTGGCGAAAGATCAGAGTCCCAGTCCTAGCTTTTGTAGTGAGGCGGTCCAAGAGTTGGGTCTGAAGATGATTTACCCTCTGGTAAACTAACAGTTTTAATGGGAAAACTCACTATTTCTATGGGAAATCACCATTTTTAATGGGAAAACTCACTAAAAACTATGGAAAATCACCATTTTGAGTGGGAAAATCCACTATAAAAATGGAAAATCACCATGTTTAATGGGAAAATGCACTAGTTCTATGGTCATTTTCAATAGCTTTTTGTTAAATTACCAGAGGGTAAGGATTTCATGGGACCAAAAAAAAAGTCGGAAAAATCACTACAAATGGAAGATGCAGATGATAACTCAGGATTTCATGGGACCAAAAAAAAACACAGAAAAATCACTTCCAGTTGGAGCTTTCGAGCTGTGAACATCAGCTATGATTTTGATTTGCTGAGTCGATGATTTTTCTGATTTTTTTCCCAATGAGAAAAATCCAACATTTCTTGGGGAATCGAGAAATTTTGGGATTTGAAAAAGAACGGAGGCAAAAAGAAAATTGGAGGGTTTTTTTTGGCAAATCCAAGTCCCATCATGTCCCATGACCAGAGGATGGTTCATCAATGGTTAACCAGTTTTTTTCGATCCAGTGACCAGAGGATGGGATTGCTTTCAACAGCAAAGATCCAATCCAAGGTCCAAGATCAGAGAAGCTGAAGTCTGTGTGGGTATTTCCGAACCAGCTCATGTTGAGTATTGAATCAATTGAATCCATTCATTTTAGTGTTCCCTATTTGAGGTAGAGTAACACCGTGTAACACCCCCCAAAAGAATATAGAACAGGAATTTATATCCCAATACGGGTACATTATGGGTACATTTTCTCCATGTTTATCAGTTTCAGAGTTGTGTTTCTTGTCATGAGATGATGATGGATGGTGTAAGTTTCCCAGATCTCTCAGGTGACCTGCAGATTTCGAAGCTGGCAGGAGACGTTTGTTGAAACCAGCAGCAATCGCTTAGTGACTGACTTCACAAAGGAAGGTGACTTTTTTAGCTGCCCTTTCAATTACTTTTGATATATTTTGACACAACATGACACAACCACAAGGTTCCAAATTGGGGGCAGTTGGCTCTTTCCTTACATTTTTGAGCTCAAGCTGGTAAGTGAGAGGTAATGCCCATGCCCCCTGAACGAGATATGTCGGGTCATGTCCAGTCATATGTACCAAGGAAAAAAATGAGCTATATACCACCGCAAGTGCAAGCTGTGATCATTTGTCAACCTCCAAAACTAAGCTGGATTCATTCGTTATCTATAATATATATATATGATTATATATGATTATATATATATATGATTATATATATATGATTATATATATATATGATTATATATATATATATATGATTATATATATATGATTATATGTATAATCATATTATATACATATTATACAGATATATATATATATATATATCATGTATATATATAGTAGCTGCAGCTCTCGATGCCAGGAACAACAGCACCTTATTTGCTGGCGTCTTAGTCGGCGGCCTTCCTTGGTGTTTTGAATCTCTGCATGGCATCCTGTTTCCATCTTTTGTCCATCTTTTTCCACTGGTCGGTTGATTAATTTGGGGATCATTCCCATTCAACAACCAATAGGTAATTTAACATAGCTATGGAAAATCACCATTTCTAATGGGTAAATCCACTATAAATGGCAATTTTCAATAGCTATGCTAAATTACCAAAGGGCAACCAATAGGTAAATGATGAATGGCGCAGCCGGTGTCACCAGATCTCCTTTTTGTGCCATGGTGCCATAATGTGCCTAATACAATTCTGCAGCAACGCCGCTGAGGGCAGCCAAGTTCTTTGACGAATTTAGCGAAGGTGAATCCACCTATGATGAGGAGCGGATGGGGCTGGATTTGTGCTTGTCTTTAAGTTAAATGGATGAAAAAAACTATGGAAACTATGCAGAATGTTCACAATCCATGAATATATATGAACATGAGATCCCAATTTTCCAAGAGGTTTTCGATACATTGCTGAACTTTTCTGGACATGACAGGCTTTTTTCCACAGATCACCGGACTACGACCAAGTCGGCTATGACGAGGATACACCTCGTAGCTTCGCTCAGAGTGGTTACGCAATGGCTTGTTGGGAGAAAACGGTGTACCAACAAGGACGACGCTATGTTGTCCAACAATAGACGTGTCAGCTTTGAAGCATCAATTTTACAGGTACCGCATTTTGACTCACTGAGATTTGACGGCTAAGCGTTGTTGGAAGATTTCAGAATGCAGTTTTCAAATACAGGGTGTTACATTTGTATGGTTGGTCACTGTCGGTTCTTCCAAATCCAGCACTTTGGGAGAGATGAACATCACGACAGCTAGCTCCTTTGAGACACACAGCTATACAGACATTTGATCAATGGTTATGAGAATTTTAAGCCTCTTGAACATATAATTCAAGAATGATATGGATTTGGTCCACTGTAGCAGCATGATCAATAATGAGTGGTGCAAGATCTTCCTAATCTCTTCATTTTTTTCTGGCAACCGGCCGGTGCCTTCTGCGATTGCACGCCGCCAAGAACAAGCCGTTGATGCAAAGATCTTTGCAGAGACACCATCAGCAGGCTCGAGCGCTTTGTGATTACGAATGAAGTATGAGTAAACCCAAGAAAGAATAAGAAAGATAGAACGGTCAGTTACCACTATTTTCATCTATTTTCGTTATTTCAGCACAACTTATTAATCGATTTAACATGATTTAACAATATTTGTACAACATGATTTAACTGTTCTTTCTTTCGGGAGGGGGGGTCGCCATACATGATATGGAAAGATCACATTCCTTGGAAGCCCAGGGTGTTGAACATTATATATTTCTGATGAATTTGTGCCCTTCGGCCATTGACCATCCAAGTTTTTGTGCACCCCATTTTGACCCGCACCAACAACGCACCCATTGGCCATCCCTATATAATTATATATATATAGAGATATATGTGTATAATATTATAATCACTATAATTTGTGTGTCTGAAGTCCATTATCGAACTGGGCCAATGGTTCCATGATTCACTGAAAGAGCAAAAGGTCGCGCTGTGGATACGGTCCGTGGTCGGGCGTCCGCGGTCGTGTGTGGAGGTTCAAGGGAAGCCTGGCAAACTTATTGGCCTGGTTCAGCAAAAGTGCCAGTGGCTCAGCAACGCACGAATTGGCTCACCCGAGTGCCCATGGCCGTGAAGTCTCCAGCGTTCCTGGCATTTTGTGGCCGTGTTTTTTCAAAGATGCGGTCGCGGTCTAAAAAATGCGCGCAGTTTGTGCCATATTTTTCCATCCAGATCCCATAGGATCCATGTATGCTATATATGGTAACATTTACCATCAATATACCCCAAATGTTAGCATATATACCAGCACCATGGATCCTGTGGGGATGCATCAGATGCGCATTTTGTTAGCACAGAGGCAGACCAATCGCATTGGGCCAAAACCCACCTGGCATCCATCCAATATCGGGTCGGGATCCCAGCGGCGGTGAAGAGAGGTTTCCCGCTTTTTTCGTTCATGTTTGGCATGGCAGATACGATGACAAATGTGATACCAGCATGTGGGTTTCGCACTAACATGATGTTATGTGATTATATATATATATATATGATGTTCATCCTTGAATCTAAAGCTTCAGGGATTCAAGCATAATGTCAAAGTCGGATTTTCAATTATTTAACCCAACAGAGTAACAGATGATCACTACTTGAGGCTAACTCCCCTAATGTTACCCTCTGGTAAACATACAAAAAGCTATTGAACATGGCCATAGAAATAGTGGATTTACCCATTAAAAATGGTGGATCTTTCCATAGTTACGTTAGTTTACCGGAGGGTAATATGGGATAATAGTGGGATAATAGTGGGATTCAAGCATAATGTCAATTCAATTATTCACCCCTGGGGGTAACAGATGATATCAGATGATCACTACTTGAGGGTAACTCCCCTTTTTTGTTATCAACCAGGCCTTATTAATCCCAAGGATCTCCAAGCCTTGGGGCTTAATCCAAGGGATGACCAGATGGTCAGCCACTGACAGATGTCACACAGCCGAGATATGACGAGCCCTACCTGGTGGCTGGATCCAACAGTGCCTTGGTCACGGCTGTGTCGGCTGTGTCTTAAATTTTTGGGGCAATCACCATAGGAAAATGGGAAAACCATAGGAAAACCATAGGAAAACCATAGGAAAACCATAGGAAAATGGAGGTTTACCCTCTGGTAAACTGTTAACAAAAAACTATGGAAAGATAATCACCATGTTCAATGGGAAAACTCCACGATTTCTAAATGGTGATTTTCAATAGCTATGTAACAAATTACCAGAGGGTAAATCCCCAATCTGTGGCCATGTTGTTGCGAAAATGCTGAACCAGTGGATTTAGGAAAACCATGGTTTATCGTATTTTCAGACGCCAATTTGTGCAGCTGTTCTGGGGTGAATATGGGTGAATTGATAGGTCTATTCCTTTCTATTCCTTTCTCCTGATCAGGGAAAAAAAGCAGCCAAATTCGTGGAGCTCCTCAAACCTGGTCAACATCATATTGTCCTTCAATGACATGCAGTTTCTCATCAAACCATGTATTATATAATACGTAGTAGGTTGGTGGATAGAAAGATAGAGAGATAGATAGGTAGGTAGATAGATAAATAGGAATAAAGAAAGATAGATAGATCGATAGACAGATAGATAGAGATTAGATGAAATCACTATTTGATTATTTTAAGATTACCCACTTTGCGAATAAGATTTTAAGATATAAATAAAGTGAGACAAGAGCAGATCGAATTTAAGATTCGACAAGGTTCGGTCGTATTAGAATAAACATAAGTTTATATAGATAATAGATAGATAAAGATAGATTATGATGGATAGATCAGGATCTATACATATCTATTATAAGATATTAGATAATAATAGATAATCTTAGATTATGATAGATAGATCAATAGATCGATCCATAGATTTGCATAGACCGTTGATGACTTCCATTGACCAAACGCAACGTCAGAGGTGATGGCACGGGTAGCTCTGGCTTCAAGGTGCGCATGCTGAAAGTGACGGGGGCCCACGGGAAAGCCAACATATTTTTGCAACCCAAAAAGCTGCCTTAGTGTTATGATCTTTAATGAAGGACTGAATAGGTCATATCATGTCATATAAAATGTGTTTGAAGAAACAATCAGATACTCTAACAGTTACATGTGTGAACCGGATGTTTCACCATTTCCATGGTAGATGAAAAAATGTTTCGATCTTTTGGCGCCGCACTGGCCACAGTCGCACCATGAGCGAAGCAGCCACAGGCTGCGAGATGGTTTGATTCCTCGGTCCTGAAGTACAATGGTCCCGTCCTCAATCCCGGCCCTTTTACTTGATGCATAGTGATGTAGTAAACCCAAGAAGAAACCAACAAATGCATCATGAAGTACAGGACCAGCTTGGGTTGCACCTCAACATACCTCAAAGGGATGGGATGGGGTTTATGACTGGGCACACTACAAATCAAGTGACTTCTACAAAGTACTGCAAGTATCCGGCATCGATTTTATTTGTCGAGGGAAACTCACAATAATAATTCTTTGCGGTCCATACTCTAGGCAAGCCACCAAGGCATTTAAAGGCATTTAAAGGCATTTAAAGGCATTTAAAGGCATTTAAAGGCATTTAAAGGCATCATGGTTTATGCCTCCCTTCAATGAAGAGGATTCATTGTCCGCTGTGGGATTCAAGCTGATTGATCTTGAAGTCATGAAGAACATCCAGTCTTACAATTGACAACCCAGCCCAGACTATCCAACTAGTATATATATATATGTATATATATATATATACATACATGTATATATATATGTAATTATATATATACATGTATATATATATATATTCTACATTACTGGGTAATTTTGGGGGTCCCAAGTTTGCTCAGGGCACTACCACAAGTTTCTTCCATCGCATGTCCATCAAAGCGCCAATACATTGGGACTCCTCCCAGCGGACTTCGGCTCAGGCATGGGGCAGCCACAGTTGTTGGCGTCTCAGACGAACCCATACACTACTCGTGCTCATGACTCTTGATGGAAGTAACCCTTGGTCTTCAGATGTGTTGGATGATGCTTCTCAAAACATCAACATGTCTCTCTTCCATCAATGCTGTCGTTTGTCTACTTCAGTTGGATTCGCTGTGTAGCATTTTGAGACTTGGAAGGTTGAAGTGCACCAAGGGCCAAAATGGATCAAAATGGTGGAATTTCATTGATGTCACAGGGGTTTCACTCTGTGCTTCACCCAGTGAATCAATTAGTGTTTGTTAAAATTACAAGTTGTTCAACCTCAACCAGTGCCCTGTGCTACACTGACTACACCTGTAACATTTTTGTGCAACGGGATTATGTGACCATGTCTCCGACGAATTGAAAGTAGGAATTGTACAATCCATGCCAGCAACAACCTGTTAACATGGTGTCACCCGGGTTAGTTTTTGGCTAAGTTTGGCTTCTTATTGCTCTCAAGGAACTTAGGTTTGTTGATGGTCAACACATCTGTATTTTGGTTTTGAAATGATATAAATCTCTGATTTTGTTGTCAAAATTCCATGTTCATTGCTATTGTTAAGCTTTGATGCTCAAATTCTATTTTGGATGGTTAAATCATATCAACTCCCTATCCCATAGGATCCATGTATGGTATATATGCTAACATTTGGGGTATATTGATGGTAAATGTTACCATATATATATAGCATACGTGGATCCTATGGGTATTTGGTTGACTAAATATCATTCTGATTCCTTGTCCCTCTGCTGTGCCTCTCCGTTATGGTCCGTTCCCAGATGTTCCCCGAGGCCGGCAAAAGGCACCGGAGCAAGGCTACAGGAGGCAGACGCGATGAACAATCCATGGGTTTGGGGCCCCAGCGACAACGATTGGTTGAAGGGAAACATACCGGAACATACCGGCTACCATATGGATCCATATGGTTTTTGACCACTCATAAAATCAGGATTTCCCGTAGATATGAAACCAATTCTGGGGAAACAAACATGCGATGCATTGCGATGCTTCAAACCGAAAGCATGTGAAAACAACAAAATTTTGAAGTTTGGGGGATGCCAGTTATGCAGTTCCTCCGCGAGGTGCAGCGTGCAGTCAATACATCGCTTCTTTGCAAGGAGGTGGGGGTCCAACTTTCAGGTTTTGGACCGCGGTCCCGGTGCCAACTGGCTATGGTCCATTTGATGGTACACTCTAGGTTGGGTAGGTTGATATAGGTTGATGGAAATTGGCGAATGATTTGGGCCTTCGAAGCATCCAGATTTCCACGCTTGCCCTGAATGATTTGGGCCCAATTCTTGAATATATATATATAATTATATATCAAGAATTCTCAAGAGAGTTTTCAATATACTTTCCAGATATTTCCAGTGGTTGTATGTTTTTGTTGGGGAGAAAAAGGCGACTCAAACCCCCCACATTTTGGGGTACCCGCTCGCCGGAGGCTGGATGCACTGCCACCTCGAAAGTGACAGTTTTCAATACGACGACGGAGGAGGTTGAACGCTGCAGGTGCAGCCTGACACGACTGACACGACTCACACGTTTTTGCTTAACAGTTTAACTTAAACCATGTCGTTGAATACGTTCCTGACATGCTAATAAGTCGTTCGTTGGTTTGAGAGATGTGTTTTGGGAACGTGTTGAACAACATGTTTTTTTTTGCGACTGTAAGGAATTCATGATTTTTACATGTAAATTGTCCACTAATCATTATTCCAATTCTATCAACCACTCTATCCCATTCTGCGATTAAGTCCCAGACTTTACATCGTTGCGAAGATTTGCAGGAACTTCCTACGTTTGATGCTGATGTTTTTTTTAGAATTTCTCTTAAACCAAGGCAGTGATAGAGGTGTGCAGCTGTGTTTTGGAAGGTCAGATCCAAGGTCAGATCATTTAGAATGATTTAGATTTACCCTCTTGTGATTTAACATAGCCATGGAAAATGGCCCATTTATAGATGGTTTGCCTATTAAAAATGGTGATTTTCCATGGCTATGTTAAATTACCAGAGGGTAGATATTTTTTTGAATCCCAATGAGTGTCCTATTGTGTTTTTTGATGTTTTTTGGGGACCTGCCTCGAAAATCTGGAGAGTTTCGATTTTCAGGGGACTAATTTTCGGAATTGCCTTCAGCTGCCTGTAGCAACAGTCACAAACAGAACCATCTGGTGGTTTCAAAGATGTTTTATTTTCCGTATATTGGGAATAATCCTTCCCAACTGACGAACTCATATTTTTCAGAGGGGTAGGTCAACCACCAACCAGTCATAATTCAAGCAGGCTTCAATCGCAGCGTTGGCTCAGCGTTGTGATTTTCGTGACATCCGCTTGCATCGCTTGCATCGCTTGCATCGCTTGCATCCCGCAGGCTGAACATCGAGGTTCATCCAACAGACTATGACAACCAGTGGGGGCAGGAGTGGATGGATCGGGTGCAAAAGTGGTGGTTGGGTGCAGTGAAATGGTTGTAGTGTTCGTGTGCTGCAGTCTAGCACCACCCTGGTGGAGTTTCCTAACTCCACTTTATGAATATCTAAAATTATGTGTGTATGTCTATATATATAATATACAGTGCCATTATTATTGTAAAGTTTTCTAAAATTATTCTTATGTCTAAAAATATATAAGAATGTATAGTATGTATAGTGCCAATTTAGATCAATTTAGGAGGTCTTCTGCAGAAGTCTGAAACCAGCTCAAATTCCTTTCCATCCTTACTGGGAAGGAATGCATCTTTGTTCTCACATTCTGAAGGGATGTGTGGCTCAAAATACCTAGCAGTGCATCCTTCTTCTAGTTGTACCACCACTATACTAGCCATACTAGCCACATCAGGTCCATTGTAGGCGGCTTGAGAGCCTCGAAGCCTCGCCAGGAGTTTGTCAAGATCTGGAAGGTCAATGGGCACATGGTCCGCTCCTTTCATGGCTGCAACATGCTGCAGAGAGACCTGGTGGTTTCCAGAGTTGTATATATATATATTATTTGTTAATCTATTATAATATATATAGTTTTAATCTATTATATATATATATGTATTATATATATATATATACATGGCCCAGCAAAATCCGTCCTTTGAGGCCACAGCCAAGTGCCTTCCCAATGCCATGGGCTGCAACGTGCGGCTCTTAAAGCACTTGCTGGCTGTATACCTCGACTAGCTGGACACTGTGTAGAAGAGTTCAATGACTAGGATCCCAGAATTGGAGAAAACTGATGAGACAATTTACTTGAAACCTATGTATTTCAGAGTAAACATATAAAAACAAGAGTTTCCTGCAGATAATCCCTGAAATCATTCCATTCATCAGGAAGATCACTCTGAACCAGACCTGTTTTCCGGCCTGGTGGTGCTTAAGGATTCAGCGTGGCGTCCCTTGATCCCCTGTTTGCAGGACTTGAGCGTCCCTTGAACTCAGCGCAACACGCGCGTGGGACACGAGTTTGTCTCATGGTAGAAATTGACAATTATACACCATTGGATTATAATCATTGGGTTTGCACTAAACATGATATCATAATCCATGTACGTCTGACAATTTTTATTTAGGGGAAGTATCCATGTTCACCATTAAAACCTTGCCATTTAGGTATCCACCGTTTTTAGACAGACCCAATTGATGTCAATTCTCAACTGGAGCTTTTCGATGCTTTTGAAAGTACATCTCCAATTCACGTCTTGAAGATTCTTGAAGTATGCGCAGAAACTGACTTGAGATCTCTCCTGAAGATATAGTTTGCACATGTTTGCATGTCGTTTGCTCATTTACTTGCAGAGATCGTGAAGCCCTTTACACATGCCAACTGCATAGGTGCAGACAGACTGATCCTGCAGAAAAACTTGCGTGCTGTTGCACTTTTGCACCTCTGTTTTCGGATAAATGTATATTAAGCGATGTTTTTGCACATCACTTGGGGGATCATTTTGGGCTGTTCCGGGTGTACAGGGGTTCTCTATTATATGGGGATGGGTCAAAACCTTGTACCCCTGGTGAACCTCAAAATAGCTGGTAAATGGATGTTCATCACCCTAAAAATGGTACTTATAGGTATTGATCCATAGCCATATTCCCATAACATTCCCATTGACTATCCCCATTGACTATCCCCATTGACTAGCAGCAGTTTGACGCTCCTCTGAGGTAGATCATGTGTTGGCTGCAGGGGACACGGGCGCCTTGTTCATTGAGGGCTCCATCAACAAGTTCCTGGGTGAGTTTTAAGCGCGGCGTTTGGGCCAGATCATAGCAGCTCTTGTAGAGTTTTTTCTGGGTAAAACCATGCCATAAACATCCATAAACCACGACAAAATTTGGGAATGATAACCATAGCACCTATAAAAATGGTGATGACTGGGGGATGGTTTATCATTGTTTTACCCACATTATTAGTTATCCAAAATGAGAACCTACCACTTTTATCCACTTAAGGTTCTTGTCTTGCTGGCATCCGGTGTGAATACAATCCTGGTCATTCCTGATGGGTGTCTCACTGTCGCAGGCAGACTCCAAGCATTTGTTTTGCTAGTTGCAGGAATATCCACTTTCAACCAAGAAGGAATGACAAACACGGACAAACCATGTTTGAAGGATTTTTACCCAAGTTCCTCATGATCAAAATAGAACACACACACATATATATATATACACATATTATTCCTGGTTTTCCAGTAAGATTCCAAGGTTTGATAGATTGTTACTCACATTCCATCATCAGATTGTGGGTTGATACCTGCAAAGAGTTTCCTGCAGCGGCCTATGACAGTTGCCCTTGAGGTTGGTTGACGAGCGACTCGCTACAACTGCTGGCAGGGGAGTAGTCAGTCGGTCCATTTCTGGCTTCAGATGTTCTAAACTAGTTCATGAATGAATATGAATGAATATGAGGAAATTCCATGGACTTTAACTTCCATGATTGTTTCAAAATGAGTTTAATGTTTGACCCAAAATGCCTCCACGGAATGGCAGAGGGAAGCAACAAACACCAGTCTGGACATCACCAAAAATAGGGATCAAACTAGCAAACATTTTATATGTGATGTAACCAACAAACAACAAACAATGGGGATTTAATGACATCGCCAAGAATATTGGGCATGTCCAATCATACAAGGACTACTTTCTAGAGTAAAATTGTATATAACATAATTTAACATAGGCCTTTCCATGAGTCGGGGGTTGGAAGATTCGTTCCCACTCAAACTTTGTAAAATCATCAGGGTCGAACTGGTACTGGAGGGTCAATCAGCATCACAGCTGTGTCGTTTCAAATGGGCCTTGAGGTGCCCCTACCAGGGCTTTTTGCTGAATGCTGTGGCTACTGTCACCTGCATGGTGGGAAGCTTAGTTTGGGAACCAGGACTGGTGGACCTTTTTTTGGGTGCAAAATGCAGGGAAGTTGACGGCTGATACTGGTGTTGCGTGTCGAGATTGCCATCTGCGTGGCTTTGCAAAAAAATGGGATTTTTTGAAAGCTGTCAAGGAGGGTTGACTGAGACAGGTGTTCACCATTCACCCCTGTTTCATGTTTCCACTTCTCATTTCGCCATGACAATTTAGGGCTGGTTGCCGGTCTCGAGATGAGTCGAATTGCTAGCAGGGATGATCACAGTCACCAGCCAGACGATAGGGCCTGGGGTGATTTGCTTCGCTGAGGCGCGTCCCAAAATGAGGGCCCCCTTTTTGTTAGCACCGCATGTTGGGACCTCAGGGCCTAGTTCCGTGGCATGACTTGTGATTGGATATACATCAATTTTTATACACATGTATACTGTATACTGGATGTGTATACAACATGTACAATGTACATCTATAACTTAACATCTATAGTTTGCAAGCTCAATATTCTTGATGGTTTAGTTGTTAGAAGCCCCATTTATCAATTTGCCCCATACTTTTCCAAATGTTGACTTGTCCCCAAACGGGAAAGTGCACTTTGCATCACCATCAACCTATATGGGATTGGCTCCAATCTTCAGACCTCAAAGGTGCAGATCGCTGGGTATCAAATGTTCACCAGCGCCATTCGGGGCCTCGCCATGTGGTTGGTTAAATTCTCATTTGTTTCTTGTTTAGCATCCCATTTGTGTTGATCACTATCTCCATTTTCACATCGCAGCATCTCGCACAAGGCCCAATATGGCGGTGCAGGTCAGGGAGCCCGAAGCGGTGCCTTCGACACAGCCCTGGGGGGCTATGGTTACTATGGCCCGAACAGCCGGCCCAATGGACCCAATGGGCCTAACGCCGGCCCCAATGGGCCCAACGGAGCCTATGGAGTCTATGGCGCCTATGGGCCCTACGGGCTCTTTGGACCCTATGGCAACCCCAGCAATGGCCTCTCTGGTAGCGAGCCCCTGGGGCCCTTTGGATACCTCTATGCCTCTTTGGGCTATGGGACAAGCTCGACCAACAGCTTCTGGGGGCATGATCTGCAACTCAGCTGCAAGGATTGAAAGGCTGAATCGCTTTCGCAGTTTCACAAGTTTCTGCTTCACTTGCTGTAGATCGAGTCGCAATGTCCTCAAACATGAAATGGTTCGACTGGGAAACAACCCAAAATCGTGTGGGTCGATGGGTCAGTTCAACTTTGATCCTTACGCAGACTGCAAGCCGTGAGTCTCCAACCCAGGAATGCTTCAGACATCAGGCGGATACTACATGATAGGCACCTGGCAGCCTGAGTCATGAGATGTGTTGGCTGGACATGTCTTGACCAGCAGCTTGTTTTTTTTCTGTCTGTTTTTAAGCGGTTCAGTTTAAAAGACTGAGATGACTGAGCGCCTTTACAGTATTCCTTCACAGATTTAGGTTCAAACTGACTGTTTTGCTTATTCCCGTTGGAACAGTACTCGTACCAGGTCGATCTTTAGACAACATCTTGAAGTGGTGCGAGAGTTTACTTGATCCTATCTCCGTAGTTCTGGTTCCTGTGTGAATTCAGGATAATTCTCCCATTGTCTCAGAGTTTTTTAAGGAGCGCCAATCCCAGGAGTTGTTTTTTGATGTTTTCTGGAAGATTTGTGGGAAACCCTATCTGGAAAAAAGGTGTTTAAACAAAGCCAGTGAATCAATGGATCGCAGGCTGGATCCCGGCATGTCCTTCTTGATGCATGCCCCGCTCCGGTGCTGCTTTTCTGCCTCGTTTGGAAGCCACAAATAGTCAAACCTCCACAGAATTTCGTGAAAGAATGTTTTTGTTCATTCCCATAGGATCCATGTATGCTATATATGGTAACATTTACCATCAATATACCCCAAATGTTAGCATATATAGCATACATGGATCCTATGGGATATGTTTGTTCATATGTTTTTTCAATATTTTCACTAGGGAGCAAGGCAGCTGATTGCTTATCTTTCTGGCGCCAGGTGCCCCTGGATGTGCCTCGGCGAAAGAAAAATCGCGACAGTCGGACTGTCATTTCTGGTGTGATGTTACCTGCTCCATTGGATATTTGTATGGTATTTATATGTACTTATGTTATACATAATTTGTATACCTTCAAACTGGTTGGTGATTTCAAATATGAATCATCCATGTTTGATTATTAATTGTGTGATATTGATTGATAGTGTATGTATATATTTAATTATATATATATATCAACATATTTCAAAACATGTTATGTATGCTTACGTTCAACCATGTTTAGGATGATGATCCCTAATTAATGACCAGCATATCTTTCAGGGTTGAAACATCTTGAAACCTGCAACCAGCAACTTAGGGGCGCTTATCCTGGAGGAACAAACCTTGTAACCTTTGATCTATTCGTCAAACATAAACTGTATTAATATGTATGAAATGTCAACAGTCCTATAATTGATTCTTGGATATTCTGGTAAAATCTGCCAGAGAACCTTAAATTTGGGTGACAACATAAACACGTCCATTTATCTTCCATTTAGATGTCCTCTTAAACGAATCCATTAAAACACAAGTGCTTGCATTTGTAAATGCGATAAACCTGGACTGCCATCTTTCTTCTCTTCACATGCTTCACTCTGGCATTGGACAATGCTACAGCGGATGCGCATGCTTCGTTATTGCTGCGCAGTAGCGTCAGTTGTTTTGGTGTTTCTTCAGCCATGTCATTCGCATGGAGCTTCCAGATCGTCACTTCCAACTAGCTCCTGGAAGATAAGCATCAGACAGCATGGTGCTTGCATCATGAACATCACTTCCAACATCTGGAGAAAACCCTGTTCTTCCACCATTGTCACCATAATTTCACCAGCATCCACTTAACCAACATCTATCGAATCTATCAACATCTTCTGGATTTTCCATGATTTTCCAATGTTCGAACATTGTCACCAACATCTGGCTGTCGCAAGACCTCCACAATCCCCTTAGGTGCAGCCAGAGGAGTCCTGGAGGTGGATCCTGTGATTCTCCGCGCGGGTGCGTGGGGATGCCCAAGACACCAAGACACGAGACGAGGCCTGTGGGTGTTAAATATATACTGTGGATAGGATGGTTTAGCCCATTATTTATATGGTTTCAACATGTTTCAACCATCCGTTTGGTGGTTTTTCGGATTTCGCAACCATCTACAGTATTTCTAAATCATCCAAGTTTCTCCAAAAATGCTGGATCTATGAGTTATGGCCAGATGATCAACGAGAGAAATCGGGGACGCACTAGTTTCGGGCAAGCGCAAATCACCCAGATTCTGCCTTGAGATGTATATATATATATATATGTACTGCACCGGTCTAGATAGTCCCGAATCATCCTGAGTCCATCAGATTGATCTATACTGCTGCCATGCAGTGCTTCATAGGTAGTAAAATTTGACCGCTGGTATCGGCTGCAAAAGTTGAGGATCATTCAGACTTCTTTGTTTTGCTTTTGGCGGTTGGGGTCGTTGTGACTTGTTGTTGTTGTTGTTGTTGTTGTTGTTGTTGTTGTTGTTGTGGTCGTTGGTGGTGGTGGTGGTGGTTGTCGTGCTGGTGCTGGTTGTCGTGGTTGTCGTGGTTGTCGTGGTTGTCGTGGTTGTCGTGGTTGTCGTGGTTGTCGTGGTTGTCGTGCTGGTGCTGGCGCTGGCGCTGCTGGTGCTGGTGCTGCTGGTGGTGGTGGTGGTGGTCTTCTTCTTCCTCTTCTTCTTCTTCTTTTTCTTCTTCTTCTTCTTTTTCTTCTTCTTATTGTTTGTTGTTTTTTTGTTCTTATGTTCTTCTTCCTCCTTCTCATTCTTGTTTGTTCTTGTCCTTCTTGTTGTTATGTATGTTCTTCTTCTTCCTTTTGTTCACTTCTCGTATTCATCTTTGTCCAGCCTGGAAAGAGCCATCCCAGGCCAATCTTCCCAATTTTCAGGTTTTTTTTTTTCCGCGAACTCTCAGGCAGTGCTTCTTGAATTTCTCAGTGGCCAGCACCTCAGTGTCGACTTTGCCATAGATGGCATGAATTTGGTACCACAGAATTGGGGGAAACTGAGAGTTTAAACCATGGAATTCATCCCATACTGGACATTGAATCATCATTGTCTTTACTTTGGATGGGATTTGGGGGTATCCAATTTTGAGATAAAAACATATTCTCAACTCGAAAATGGTATGGGGTCAGAAGATCTGTCAGTATCCAAATTCGTTAAGGATACTTAAGACCCTGGGAGTCACACAAACAGGCCATTGCTGGTCTGACACATGAACTTGTTGGGCTATACCCAAATTTGACCCATCCTAAATGACGGTTTAAATACTTTGGGAAATCACCCCAACTAAACTCGTTCAGGTGCTACAATCAATGAACACAAAGTAGGCCTGGATATTAAAGCCTTACTGGGTAGCTGTGCCTATGTATAAACGGAATATTCGTCACCAGGTAACCAAATGCCATTCGTGGTTGTAGGGGGGCAACCGGCTTTCTGGCCGAGAACTGATTTTGCGGACGGGCCCACAGGGTTACGAGATAACGAGATAAAACAAGTACGCTGAGCTTTTGGTGAAGCCATCAAAGAAATTGAGAGAAAGAGCATTGTTTTGCAATGAACCGCCTTACTTGGCGGGATAAAAGGTGAACAGTGCAGTGTTTTTTTTGGTCACTGAGCAGGTGAGGATTCAGCCATCCATCGCAGGTGCAGACCGACTACGACGAATCCGTGGGAAACGACGTGGAACGTATCGAGTCTCTGGGTCGAAGAAGTCCGACTGAACTGAGGTGCTTTTCTGGAAGCCAGTTGGATATGGAGATGGGTCAAAATCTGTCAAAATCTCCCCAAAATGGTGCAAATCCCATGCAAATCCAACAGCCAATGGGCCTCATCTAGTTATGAATCTAGCATAATCTAGCTATCCCCATGAACCTGTCCACCGGGATGAGTCTCAGAGTCTCAGGTTCATTTCAGTGTCCGGCCTGGGGAATGTGAGCAAGAACATGAAGCCCGGGAGGCAAGGGGTGTCTTGAAAAAAGTGCAACTGACACTGGCCAACACCTTCCCAACACCTTCCCAACATGTGTTTTTTTTTGAGGTGGGAAGATGGTTGCCATGAACCCCTGATGTTCCTATTGCTGCAATGCTCGATGTTTAAGTTGTGATTCTGATGTTGATTCTCAATGAGATTGATCACTGACAGAGGTTTCGGCATTTGGCCACTGTCCGATAGGAAGAATTTTCTGATACTTTCTGCCATGGTCTGGGCATGGCTATTGGTTGAGACATGTTGAGACCACGCTTCCCCCCAAAAAAACTACAGGAACGGCTTAAACATCTGGCGTTTCCGCTAGGCCCCGAGAAGTATTGAGACCTGTGTACCTTGCCAATCAGGGTGTTCCTGAAAATCATTAGTTCAACATAGTTCAACTATGTTGAAATATTGGACCCATTGAACCCCACCCTGAAATCCAGGAATCCCTGCACGGAGGAGTGCGGGGCCTCAACTGAGGGTTGACTGCGCTTCAAATAACTCACCAGAAATGGGCCAGATTTGAATCAGTAGCAGTTTCATGAGATTATGTTCCCTACAATTCTCCTATTGATTCATGCCCAGAGGGATGAAGAGCCTCAGCCCTGTGATGCCCTGTGTTTAAGGGATCACAGAGGGATCACTGAGGTCATCACTTGTGAGCAGCCACCAAGAGAATGTGCCAATTGACTGTCAACTGGGCTTTCATGTTGTTAAGTGCAGAACGTGCTATGATGATCTATGATGCAGATGTAGATTTGATTGAAGCTATTGATTGGAGATTGGAGCAATGTCGATCTTAGTGATATGTGCACCATGATGCAAGGAAGTAGCAAAACTGGGGGTGTGTATGCATTCATGTCCATATGTATCTATTATCTATTTGCATAATTATACAGATTCGGGTATCCCAGATGATGGGCACTCCACTTCACTCTTGAGACATACAAACAAAATCGGTCTACGGGGCCAAGTAATGTGACATGCAATTTGAGTTTGTTTGAAAATAGGGTCGATCTGTGCCCAAAGAAAGATATACACATAGTGAATCATAGTGACGAAGATATACACAATGTCCATGATATAATCCCCTATTTATTACACAGATCTATATATACAGTTTTTAGATCCTACAGATCAGTTGTGTCGATCGACAACTAAGGTATAGTACAGGCAAAAGCGTGCCAACAGCAGAGAGGGCCAGGAGCCTGGCATTGCATCATTAGCAGGTCCTGGTGCCGCACGAAATAGCCTCCAGTCTGTCCAGTAGTTGAACAGATTTGAACAGCCATAGCTATGGAACATGATGGAAATGCTCCGTTTGTTGGATGATCTATCTGTACCTGTTAGAGATTGTAATGTTTCCATGGTTATGTCAAATAATACAGGTATATACATGTTTTTTTTCCGGTCAGGATGTTGCACTAGGCTGGAGACATACGACAACAATCCACAACATAACCAGGCATGTTGGCTTGAAATGGCTTAAATATAAGCATTGTGTACTCAGTTTGCAGGCACACACACAAACTAGCTATACTTGGGACTATGTGGGATATGTGTTGTTTTCTCAATGAATATGCTGTTCTTATTCTCCAAGATTTTTTGCAAACCAGACTAGTAGCTTCCGGAGCTAAATCGCTCCATTGGTGCACCAGTCATGTTGAGATTGGTTAAACGTGGCTGAATCTATGGAATCTATGCTGGCAACAACCACCAAGGGCCAGACCATGAGTGATCCTGATTTCATCTGATTTCCATTCTTGCTCAAACTACCCTCTGGTAAACTAACATAGCTATGGAAAATCACCATGTTTAATGGGAACACTCACTATAAATGGCCATTTTCAATAGCTATGTTAGTTTACCAGAGGGTATCTGAAACTCCCTCTTTATGCTGGCATCTGCTTGAGCGTTTCAAGCGTTTTTGTCGGCTTTCTTCATGTTTAAAACTTTCATTTCTCCGGCTGAAACTCCACCATTTCCCCAAGGGTCGCATGCCATAGCTGGGGCCGGCACCGTTGCCCCCCGGGGGCCCCCGGGGGCCCCGGGGTCCCAGGTTGTGACGGTGCTGGAGAATCAAAACGTCACGGAGCAGCTCTTGGCACCTCCGGTCAGCTGCAGAGGGGTCGGCCAAGCCAAGCCATGGCAGCCATAGGTCCTGGTAAAAGATATGGAGCCAAGCATCAAAAATGGACTTAATCATTGTTAATAATGGTTAATAATGGTTGATAATGGTTAATTACTAGTGATTTTTTCCATATTAATTGGGAAGAATCATCCCAACTAACGAACTCATATTTTTCAGAGGGGTAGGTCAACCACCAACCAGAAATGGACTTCGAATCTGGATGAGTATGGTCCAGTAAATGGTAGAAAAAATGCCTCAGTTATGACCATTCTTTGCCGATGATTGGCGAAGTTTCCGCAACTTTGGATTGTTTACTTGGCGGGTTCAATCGCCGTTCATAGTCCAGTGGCCATCAAACATCAGGTATCAACTGGGCATTTGGGGTCAAAATGACTGGATTCCCAAAGCACGGATGGTTTTCTTGCAGCACGCGACCAAATTTTGTGTGTCCAGAAAGGTACCCCGACTGTGACCCATACCATCCCATACCTATTTTGAAAAGGGACCAAAACACATGAAGCATCCAACTTTGCGTTCGTAACGTTCGTTGTTTTTTGTTAATCGTCCATCCAAGTAGTGGGGCAAATAGATAGTGGGGCAAATGCCGAAAAGCAATTTTTGCAATGTCCATCAAAATTTGGTTGTCTTTGGCACCAACAATCCAACTTGAGCGCTTTTCCAGAAAAAATATTTAGAGCAATATGTGATGCCATATGTTTTTGCTGGTTAGGGTTGAGCAACAAAGATGGACATATAACCCACACAGCAGTATTGGAAATCTATGAAACTTGGCCTTGGAGAAGCCAAGAATTCCCATGGTGAATCACCATGTTCCCTGGCTTCCCTGGCATGAAATGGTCAATTGCTTCCAGAACGCCCGTTGTTTTTTTCGAGAAAAACAATTAGAGATCAAGTTGGTTCGTAAGAGATCCCATTGCAGTCATTGATTTTTTTACCGCATGAGATTTGATTATAAGATATTATAACTTATACCATCTTGTATATTCTTATATAGTATTTAATATCAGAGTATAATGTGGTAAACCTGCTATATGATCCTAATAGTAAACCATCCCTAAGTCATCGCCATGTTTGTGGGTGTTATAAACCATCCCCAAGTGGTAGGTCTATGGCATTAGGTTGCCGACATTCACCATGATTGTTGGACCATGGAAAACTTGGCAGTTTGGACAGCTGATCATTGACAGCAAGATTACGGAGCAGGTCGGGTAAGG